ACGGTTTCTTCAACGTGAACGACGTCTTCCGCGAGATGTCATCATTACTGTCGCCAACAACGAAAACCTGCGCACCAACAAACAAGGAATCGAGGAGCTTCAGTCGAATGAAACGAATGTCATTCTTCAATTAAACAAAGTGCTCATCGTCGACAACCTTGGCTTTAACTTACTGAGCGTCAGCCAGCTCATGTCGAAAGGCATTCACCTGGAGTGTGACTCCGACGCCCGGGAAATTCGTCTTTACAACGGAAAAGGGGGGGTCTTCATCGGCCGCGCGATTCAACAAGCCGACGTCTTCGTTCTTGATTTCGTCCCCGACAAAGGCACCGCCGACAGCGACGGCATAGTCGCCTTCGCACCTTGGACGCACCCGCCATATCTTGACCCGAACTTCAGCCCTGAAGGCTTCTGGTACTCCCGTACCATTCCCGAGGCTGAACGTACCAACGCGCTTGCCGTCCTGCAAACACAAGCAACACCCGAGTCAGTACCCGTCATCGAAACAACAACAACAGTCGAAACAGCACCAACAACCACCGAACCTGTAGTCGAAGAACCAACCGTCGTCGTGGAACCACCTTCCGAAACTCCACAGCCCGGTCCCTCCGTCGTGCCACCACCACCTCCCATCATCGACACGCCACCGACAGCCGCCCAACAGTTAACGCCAGCACCACGCGCCGTTCATCAAAGTGCAGCAACACACGCCGCCTTCTTCGCCAACGCAGACTTCTATCAACGCTCCGTCGGTCACAGCGCCTCCGAAGACATTTGGCATCAACGCCTTGGACATCCTGCAAACAAGACACTATATAACACAATACGAGCCGGAGTGTTAGACAAGAACGCTCTACTTCTTCCCAACGGACGCGAACTCGAACGACCACGCGGCACTTGCTTCATCTGTCCGGAAGCGTACTTGCCTCACCAACCGTTCCCGTCACATCACAACCCGAGCGCCCCCGTTTATCAACCACTCGAGAAAGTCTACAGCGACATCTTATACATACATCGAACCGAAGGACGTGAAGATCTGAACTACGTCATCACCTTCATCGACGCCGCAACACGTTATGTCTGGCACGTTAACTTACCGTCACGAGACATGGCTCTAGAAGCCTTCACAGCCTGGCTACCTGTCGCTGAAAGAGAATCGGGAGTAAACCTGAAGAGTTTTCAGTCAGATGGCGCGATGGAATACCAGTCACACCGCTTCAAGCAGATCTTGGCAGAAAGAGGCATCAAACGCCTCATCTCTCTCCCTTACGCTCACCAAAACAGCAGGGTGTGGCAGAAAGGATGAACAGGACCCTGCAGACAACCATGCGAAAGCTCCTACGTGGAACACGACTGCCCAACTCAGAATGGCCAGCAGCGATGGACCACGCTGTCCTCCTGCACAACTTGCTGTCCTCGTCTTGACTGCCCAACAACGCATCTCCGCACCTGTTGTGGACTGGGAAGCTGGGCAACACAAAAATGTTAAGAGTCTTTGGGTGTATGGTACAGTACCGCCCACACACTGCACGCGCAGGAAGATTTTCGCAACGTGCATAGTGGGGCCTACACCTCGGGCTGGCAAAACATTACGAAGCTTGGCGAATCTTCGACGTCCACACAAAGGAAACAGTAGCAGCACGTGATGTTATCTTCTACGAGGGACTCACCCTCAACCATTACCTGGACAACATCGCACGCCATGTCGAACCCACCGGCGGATTTTCTGGCTCTCGAGCCTTCGCTTCACCCTCCGACGCTGCTGATTGGGAAGAAGAAAACGTCGACGGCGCCTCCGAAGCTGCTGGACCCCTTCCCTACTGCTTCGTCCCATTCCCCATGGACGACGAAAATCCTCGCGACAGCGTCAATGCCGACGCCTACTACCATTACGCCGACACTGGTTACGTAACACCCCAACCCGTCAACACCGACATTTCTGAACGCTATGGCCCCGGATTTGCTCCTGATCCTGAAGCGGGAGACGAAGCAGTCTATCCCGAGGATCCCCTGATGAACCGTCACACCCCCAGCGGACTCCAAGTTCTGGGGCTCGTCACTGCTGTGCAAGGGACTTCGACGCCACCTGAAGAGCCTCGCTCTGTCAAGCAGGCTCTGGGGGGGGAACACAGAGAAAAGTGGCGCGAAGCCATGGAAAAGGAGTTAAAAGCGCTATCAGACCGCAACACCTGGAAGATCGTCCCTGCATCACTCGCACAAGACAGACCCATTCTCTCTGGGAAATGGGTATTCCAGATCAAAACCAGCTCTGACGAAACCATCGAACGATTTAAGGCTCGATGGGTCGTCCGCGGATTCGACCAAGAATTTGGTCGCGACTTCACCGAGACTTTCGCTCCAGTCAGCCGACACACTTCCCTACGCATTCTTATCACCGTCGCCGCCTCATGTCGCCGCCCACTCCGACATATCGACGTCGCCAACGCTTTTCTGTACGCCCCAGTCGACGCCGAAATCTTCGTTGAACAGCCCCACGGGTTCGTCGACGACCCTTCCCGCGTCTGTCAACTACTTAAATCGCTGTATGGAATCAAACACGCACCGCGACTCTGGCAGCAGTACCTGCACGCACGACTTAAACGTATCGGATTCGACCAACTGCCCCATGACCAGGGCATGTATCGCCTCACCCACGACAACGACTACGTCTTGCTAATCGTCTACGTCGATGACTTACTCTACATCGGGTCAACTACCGCCATCGTCACCTGGTTCGAAAAAGGAGCTCCAAAGGGATCTCTCCCTCACAGTCTCACCCGACGTCACGCAGTACCTAGGGCTCAACATTCTCGACGAAGACAACGCCATTCATCTCAGCGCCTCAAAATACGCAAGCACTATCGCCGAACGCTTCTGCTTCACGCCGACGCACGTCGCAACACCCTATAGTCACCTATCACCCGACCCAACCGAAGAAACCAAACTACTGCCGTCTGCCGGAATCCAGGAATATCAACAGAAACTGGGCTGTCTACTTTTCGCTGCCGTCACATGCCGACCGGACTTATCCTACAGCGCCAGCCAGCTAGCGACCTACCTTAAACGCCCAGAACAACGTCACCTCAAGGAGCTCAACCGAGCCCTTCTCTACTTCATCTCGACGCCAACAGTTGGCCTAACATATCACAAGAGCACGACGACCGATCTAAAACTACTCGGTTACGTCGACGCTGATCACGCTGCTGATCGTGTCGATCGTCGCTCTCGCACCGGCTACGTCTACCGTCTCGAGCCCATCGGAACTATCTCCTGGCAATCGAGTAAGCAGGAACTCGTCGCACTATCATCTGCTGAAGCAGAGTATATTGCTCTCTGCACCGCCACCAAGGAAGGTCTGTACCTGCGCGAACTGCTGGAAGAAGCGAAAATTGCGAAGGTACCCAACTTCTCGCTTTTCTGCGACAACGAGTCCGCGATACGCATCGCGAACAAGAACGGTTTCGCCAACAGAACCAAGCATATCGCACTGCGATACTTCTTCGTGAAAGACGAAATCGAGAAAGGAAAACTCCAGCTGGACTACTGCCCGACCACCGAGATGGCAGCAGATTATCTCACCAAGAAGTTACCAAAGGGGAAATTCGAGTACTGCATGCTGCTTACCGGATTGGGCCACGTCACCGAAGCTGACCACGTCGACACTCCAGAAACGAAGGGGAGTGTTGGGAATATAAACGCATGACTTAGTGCGTTTCTGTAGTATCGAACCTCACCCGATACTGAAGCACAACAAAAGGGGTACGAAGTCGAAAAGGCGCGTACCACATCAAACCGCAACTGGAGGTTGCGAGCTATAACCGCCTGGAGGTTACGTAACAGCAAGCGACGCTTCAGTGAACAGTAACCGCCTCGATAGTCGAAGCGTTACGCGTCTCGATAAACACTACCGCTTCCTGTAATCTATCTTTCCTATATATTTCTGTATGCTCTTTGCTTTAATCAATTACTTGTTCTCACACACCAGCACAAGTACATTCACTCAAGTCTTCCGCTGTGCTACTCTAGCACCTACTAGCCTATTCTCTGCAAAGATCCTAAGGCTGAAATTCTCAGCCCAACACCCACTATAGCCTACACAATATGCATGAGCTATAATGTTCTGAGAAGCGCGTGAGCGACGGACAGCAGCCAGGGCTCTCGTTATCAGACTAATTTGGTCTGATGGTCTGATTTTCATACTCACTTTTTTGGATTCATCTGATTTGGCAAACAAGATCAAACAAAACCATGTCTAATGCACGGGGGACCCGTCTGATGAATCAGGCGTTCTCAGATCCTAGCAAGAGCCCTGACAACAGCATGTTTGACAGGCGAGTATATTCGATATTTGTTACTTTCACAAATTGCGAATAAGTTATTCTGCTGTCGTAATTGCGTGTGCGTGAAGTTGCCAGAATCTATTTTGCGTTTCGTACAGCGATGTTGGCGGCATTCTGGTACTCGGCAAATAAAAATCTTGTCACATCTGTGGTATCGAATCGAAATGTTTAGTTGACCGAAATCGCTCATCTCTTCCCCGCACTAAAACGTGTGGATAAATACTATTTTGTGACATTACGGTAATAGGTAGTTCTTTGTTACAGTTCCACACAGAGAAACAATTAATTTATTGGATGACGAAGGCTGGCGACAGAGTCATGTGACACCCCTTTGAGATGGGAGAGCGGGTGGCGTGGCGAAGAGTGCTGAAATGAATCTTCTTGGCATCTGCGTAACACCGCATCACAACCGTTCGCAACCGCATTCGGCACATCGCGGCTCGATGTCGCAGAGTATGCGCGGCGCGACATTTTCGAGATCCTACAAATAGCCGTAAACATCGAGTCTCCAAGTCCATTTCTCTCTCACACCTGATTTCCTTTCGGCACTCCTCTGCTGCATCCTCCCTGAAGTACTCGTAAGCAACTAGATTCGCGAGAAAATAAATAGATAAATCAGACAGAAAATTACTTGGTCGTCCTAACAACATTTTAGGCGTAATGTCCGTCGCCGAAGCACCCGCAAATGACGACAGCGACAGCTCCCTTGCCCCCGGATTCAAATTCCAACCCACAGACGAGGAGCTCCTCTCTTTCTACCTTCCCCGAAGAATCGCCAACCAGCCCATCCCGCTGAACGCGATCGGCGACATTGAAATGTACGGATTCGAGCCCTGGGAGCTTCCGGGAAAGGCCATGATGTCACTTTCTGCTAGTGACGAGTGGTTCTTCTTCGCGTCACGCGACAGAAAGTACCTCATGGGCACTCGCGCCAACCGGATGACTTCAGCCGGCTACTGGAAGGCCACGGGGAAAGACCGCCCCGTGTTCGCCGCACGGAAGGAGGAGAACAAGTCTCAAGGCAGCCGGGATGAGCATGAGTCGGGTAATGATGTCAAAAGCGGGCGCATAGTCGGGTATAAGAAGGGCCACGTGTTTTACAAAGGCAGGGCGCCTCACGGGGAGAAGACTGTTTGGGTGATGCACTACCGCCTCGCAGAGCCTAGTGACGACCCTTTGATCGGTCTGAATGTTGCCGTTGCTGCCGCCGTGGAAGCTTCGCATGGTTTTGCCGCCAGTGGCAGTGAGGGCGGTTCTAAAAATGCAGCAGCGCCAGGACGAACGATGTCATCGGCAGCGCAGCGACAGAAGCAGCAGCAGCAGCAGCAGCAGCAGCATCTCCAGCTGCTGCAGCAGGGGACAACCACTTGGGTGGTGATTCGTCTCTACAAACGCGACGCGATCCCGTTTCAGGGCGACGGGGCGAAGCGAATCAAGCTGAGCAGCCTGGCTCCATCATTGCACCACGCCAAGTCGGTGTCGCTGCCATCGTCCCCACAGGAGCTCGCATCAGCAGCCTCTTTCGACGATGGCGTAGACGAGGAATCCGCGGAGGATGACGTGACTGCTGTCGTGAGTGATGCGGAAGTAGTGTATGACGAGGAATCTCTGAACGCGGATCTGCCAATTGTGGGGCGGGTGACCAACACGAGCACTGACATCGTCGGCGCCGAGCATGGTACATTCTCTGGAGACGGGGGGGAAAACAGTGGAGTGAAATGTGCAGGGAATGAGGATAAAGTCGGGCTGACTGTTGACAGCGGTGGTCCAGGGAGCATTCCTGGTAGCCAAATGATCTCAACAGAACCACGAAGTGTGGGCACACAGCCGCAACCCGCCCCTGTCACTTGGAGTTATCATGGGCCAGTGCCGGTGGCGCGAGTGCCATCAGCTCAAACCATTGCATCGTTGGAAGCGCTACTGCTAGCAGATGATGATCCCAATGTCACGTACCGTGCAAACCTGAGCCATCATGCGATGACGTGGACCACACACGACGAGTCCCACCAAGTGAATATGACCCATGGCCATATGGACGGCCATAATGCAGCTCGGTGGTCCACACCCACACAGCAAGATGGGCCGTCGGGGGTTGCGGGTGCTAACGCCGCAGTTGCCCTCATGTCAGGGGTGCAATTCTCCACTCAGTCGGAGCAGCTTGACAAGGAAGTAGCAGAAGGGCTGCATAATGTGGCTCACATGCACACTACTACGGAAACGTGCAACCTTGTCTCCCTCCTGTTCTCCAACCTTACATCCCCGCCTATCCTCCAGTCCGCGCCCTCCATTCCCTTGCCATCCATGCCCTCCTTCACTCAGTCCCTGTCATCCACCACTTCTCCTGGATTAATAAGCCAGCCAATACTTGAAAGCACGGAAAAGAATAACCAAGATGTTGAGGGAATGGGTGATGGTGCGACACTGTCAATGGGAGATGATTCTGTTGATTTGCCACCTGGGTCGCAGCCAAGAGGCATGAGATCACCAAGAGGGATGGAAAGCTAGTACTAGAATGAAATATATGAAATGAAATATATCACTAGGTTTAATATAAATGCGGATTATATGTAGTGGTAATGACAGCATAAGCTGTCTGTTTTTCGTCTTGCCATGTTCACGCTGTTTGTTCATCAGGGGATGGTATATTATTCACTCACCCAGTATTACATAAACCTTTCCTTTTTATACTGTAGAGTGTACGTCTGGAAAACTGTGTGTGGCAGCGAAAATGAGTGGTAATTTCGTTAGTAGCTCATGCTCCCACGATGTTCGCCCAGTTCGGACCTCCCACCATTTTCGAGATACAGGGAGCTGTTGAACACGAGCACCGGTCAAGAAGCCTAACCACCGTGCTGTTCTGTAAACCACCGCTTTGCCGCGCAACGCATCTCATCAAACCGCAAAAAAAAACGATCTGCCTTGTGATGCGAGTTGTGCACAACCATTTCGCATGCGCGAAAGGAAATAAGGGGTGGCGAACTCCTCAAACTTGGCTGGAAAAAAATTCAGTCTGTGCAGCATGATTCATGTACACCAGATGTGTATTTTAGTCACCGTTGGTAACACGAGAATTTAGGGAACTATGCAAGCGTACACACAAACTAGGCATCGTGGTCACGAGGGTGAGTAAAATCAACTCACCACGCCTGCCCGCGTACCTCGGAGTGCCTCAAGTCGTCCCGCCTCCCCTCCCGTCGTCGACCTTCTCCTCCCCTGTTCGCACCTCCCCTGGTCGCACCTCCCGTGGTCGCACCTCCCCTGGTCACACCTCCCCTGGTTGCGCCTCCCTTTGTCGCGCCCCTGGTCGCGCTTCCCCTGGTCGCGCCTCCGCTTGTCGCGTGTCCCCTCTCGTCGTCGCTCCTCCCCTCCTTGCTCCTCTGCTCGTCGCGCCTCCCCTCCCCTCGGCGTGACTCCTCCTTTCGTCGTGCCGCGCCTCCGCTCCCCTCGTCGCGGCTCCTCTTCCCCTGTCCTTCTCTCACCTGCCCATCCCTTGCCTTCCCTTCCCTGCCCTTCCATTCCCTCTTGTTACCTTCCGTTCCCATCCCTCCAATGCTGAGAGCAAATTCAAACAAAACTCTTCCCACTCCCCCCCCCCCCCCCCCCCCCTCCCCGCCTAGTTTTTTGCCCATCCCTCCGAAGGCTGCTTCCCCCCATTTCCCTAAGCAATAGATTCTGTCCGATCTCATGCACCATCACTTCAATCCTAGAACCTGAGGAATCCGTTTGTCAGGCTCATTGCCTCCTTATGCGATCACAAGGCTGCTGAATCGCGGTCTCGTGTGCAAGAAGTACGCAGGACATACTAGGGCTGGAACGGTCGACCACTGTCAATGCCCAGTCTTATTTGTTGACGTGCCACAGTGCGTCAGCAGCGTGTGAGTCACGGCTTCGACGCGGCACTGCCATGTTCCTCTGTTCCCTTATTCGGCTGCTTCCGTTTTAGTTCTTTCTATTACTCCCATCCTTTTTTCCCTCTCACCTCCATGGTTCTTCCACGCTCCTACCTGCTTCTTCATACGCCCCTCGCCTTCCACTGTCCACCTCAGCAGTGAGATCCTTTTTACCGTTCTCCCAACCTTCTTGATTTCACCCGCTTCAATCACTCTTCTCTCCTATACCTCGTTCCACCAACCATATCGCATCCTTCTTTCCACCCATTCGCTCTCCTATCCCTCTTCGTCCCAGAACCAATTGCAGCACTGCATGCGATCTGATCTGATCCACTGCAGAGCACTCTGAAGAGCTCTGAGCACTCTGCACCGCTCTGAACCGTGCCAAATCCCGTCCTGCCAGTCAGCAATGGCGTCTTCAGTGCTGAGCCTTCTCGATCGAAGCTTAGACGACCCCGTCGCCACTCAGCTCCTAGCCACCCTCGCAAGCAGCAACGGCACCAGTAGCAGCAACACAGGCAGCAGCACAAGCAGTGGCAATGGCAGCAGTAGCAGCAGCACAGGTGGCACCGCAAGCGAGGGGGCGGGCGGCGTGTGAGTATGTGAACTACAAGGCGCTGGGGCTGTCGCTGTGTGTGGAAGATGTGAGGGTGGCAGCCGTTCACGTGTACAGCGACGTGCATGGATACAAGGCGTTTACGGGATCTTTTCCATTCGGTCTCGAATAATGCTCTTGTAGTATGCAACGAGGTGGGAGGGTGGCGGCGGTGCATGTGTACAGCAACGTGCATGGGTACAAGGCGTTCACTGGGACCCTCCCCTTTGGACTGAAATGAGTGTGTGGAGGACTCAAGGGAGTGTGTGTGGGACTCAAGGGAGTGTGTGTGGGACTCAAGTGAGTGTGTGTGGACTCAAGTGAGTGTGTGTGGGACTCAAGTGAGGTGTGTAGGACTCAAGTGAGTGTGTGTAGGATTCAAATGAGTGTGTGTAGGATTCAAATGAATGTGTGTAAGACTCAAGCTACATTCGTGTGACTTGCAAAGTGCTGGGAGGGTAGCAGCCGTGCACGTGTACAGCAATTTCCTACACGTTCCAACTCACTGGGACCCTCCCCTTCCGTTCAAACTCAAGTGAGTGCAGCACGTTCCAATCAGGCACGCATCCTTCCACGTGTGCATTTCACACGCATGCCGTCCCCACTGTTCATCCCCTCCCATGCTCGTCGTTTCCTCTCCTCCCCCTCCTTCCTTCCCCCTCCCAGAGGGATGAATGCCAGGGACAGAGGGGGTGGAGCTGCTGGGGGAGCGGACGTGAAAACAGGGAGGGGCAGCAGCAGGCATCAGGACAGAAGGGGGCCATGCCTTCAATGCCCTTCTCCCCATCCCCCACTCCCCACCTCCACTCCTCATGCATCCTTCCTCTCCCCTCCTTCTAGAGTGAGTGTGAGAGCCAAGGAAGTAGTGGCAGCTGGGGGAGCCTCATGTCAAAGCAGAGGGCAGCAGCGATGGGGGAAAGCGTCATGTGATATGCAGACGAGACGCGGGAAGCACATAAGAGAGCGCATATTTTGACAGAACTCGTGCCCTTCTCCCATCTCCCACTGCTCGCCTCCACTCCTCATGCACTCCACCCCTCTCCTCTTGTCCCAGTTAGAGCCAGGGATGGTGCCGATGCGATGCTGGGAGATTGTGGGGGGGCATAACAGTTCCGCCCTACTCCCATCTTCCGCACCATCATGTACTCTTCCCTGCTTCGTTCCTCGCAGAGTGGCCATGAAATTCAGGGAGGTAATGGCAGCACTGTGGGAGCTGGATGTGAAAGAAAAGGGGGGCATAAATTGATAATCCCTCCTCCTATCTCTCACTTCTCATACACTCCTCCCTTCACCTTTCTGAAGTATCTGTGACTTTTCTTGAATATTGAATCCTCCCCTATCGACCACTACCACTCTCAGGGTGAGCATGAAAGGCAAGGAGGTGGTGGCAACGCTTGGAGAGCCAGATGTGAAAGCAGGGTCGGGCAGCAGCGGGGCAGTGACGTTTGTGGGCACAGCAGGTCACGTTTGTGGGGCGCAGCTGGGAAGATGAAGACAATGCTACAGACTGCATTACCCTGTATTTTCCAACTGACAAGTCATGACCTGGAAACAGCAAATGCATAATGCTTTGTTATTGTACGATAGAAACACACCTAGCACCACACATGCTGACCCCGCTGCTCCAACTCTGAAACCGAACACCATCCTCCTCCCCCACACCCCCCTTCTTTGCCCCTGCAAGCACCCATAAACAGCAATCACAACCTTCTGACACTTAACCACTTCACACAAGCAGAACATCACGGTCATTCAATCATGAACAAAAATATCTAGCACCACGTTCCCGCCATGACAACCTGAGCCTGCAGGCCGCGCTGCCTGAGCATGGCAGCGAGCGTGTTGAAGACGGTCTGGCCGATCTTCTTGATCACCGCCGTCACAAACGTGTTGAGCGACCGCACATCCTTCACCCCGCTCACCCCCACGCCCAGCGCCGAGTTGTAAAACTGAACGGCCGAGTCGGTGGGCGCAGCCTTGCACTTGATCCAGTCCAGCAGGTAGGTCTTGACGCAGGAGGGGTTGCGGCGGTTGTTGGCCGCCATGAGCACGTAGTCCTGGAAGCTGCTGCTGGCGCCGGACGTGCCGGGGCCCCACACGGCCAGCACGCTGCTGCGCACGTCGCTGGACGCCTGCACGCTGTTCCACAGGGTCTGTGAGCTGCAGTCGTCCTTGATCCACCACGCGTACCACCTGCACGAGCAGGAGGCGGGGGGAGGGGGAGGGGGAGGGGGGAACGGGAAGGGGGAAAGGGGACGGGGGGGAGGAGAGGGAAAAGGAGAGGGGAGGTCAGGGAGGGTGGGGAAGAAGGGGGAAACTGCAGTCATTCTTGATCCAACACTCACACCACCAGCAGGCGCAGCAGGCACGGGTGAAGCAGCACACACAACACAGTAAACGCACTACTTACCAGAACCACAGTCCATCTGCCAAAGCAGCACAAAATTGGTAATTTCGAGTGTATATTTTGGGAGGCTCACCTGCTGGCGTAGCAGGAAGGGGCCACCGTCTCGCAGTCGGCGCACGAGCACGTCTGCGCGAGGATCGCGGAGGCCTGAAGCGCGACGACGACGGCGAAGAGAAGCTTAGCAGGAGCCATTGTTGAGAGCGGCACGGGGCGATCGGCAGTCGGAGAAATTAGGGTAACCCGAGATAGTATCGTTAAGGATTGCTAGAGCCTAGCTTTGCAGTGGGTGAGAGGAAGCAGGACAAGTAGTAGAGCGAATAGCTTGCGATGGTTGGCTCTGGCTTTGGCTTGCCTCTTATACCCGCATTACTGCTCCCACTACCCCTGGCTGCCACCGGAAAGCGGGCGGCTCGGACTTCGATCATGTTCCGATCCTGCCTTAGATCGCAGAGTAGACTTGGACGACTCGTCGTATGC